AACCTTGAGGAACCCCTGAGGTTACAGAATAAGAAGAGTGCTGTCCATCAAGGACAACTTTTATACGATTATATTATATAGCTTTTATACGATATATTGTATCGATTGGAAAGGAAGGATTCAATAATCTTAAAGATCTTTCCAGATCATAAGAAGAAAGTTTATGGAGAAGACCAGCATGCCAAACTTTATCAAATGCTTTAGAAATGTCATATATGATCACGCAGGTTGGTTTTTATTTTGCTATGAAAAAGAATTATATTTTAAATCTTGCTTAATTTGTTATTGTTAGTTCAACATCAGATGGTGACTTGATGACCCCAATTATTTTTTCTATCATTAGCATATAATTTTATATTGTGTGTAAAACTATCTGACTGGTCATTAATATACAAGACAAAAAGAAGGGGTCCATTTGAGCCATTGCTGCCTTTTATTTAGCCATGCTTTAATTTATATAAAAGTTGAGCACGAATACCATATGTGTGAAGTTTATGTAGTCTTCTGTGAGACTCTGTATCAAAGATTTTTGTAAAAACTGTAAAAATGACTTCAACAAGGTGTAAAACCTTGGTGATTAAGTCAAGGGTTTCTTCTAAACTAATCACACATGCTTTTTCAAACATAAATCTATATTGTGTATCAAAGATGATACCTGTGGCTTTGCAGTGATACATGATAACCTCCTGTTCGTACGGGATGGAACTTAACTTATTGTTAAGTTCCATAAATTTTTCAGAAATTAGTGTTAGCAAGACTGATCTGTAGTTGCCAATAGCCTGGAACCTTTTCTTAAAAACTGGCGTGACATTTACTTTTCTCCATCTATCAATCTGGTTGCTGGTGCTAAGTGAAAGATTATAGATTATTGCAAAAGGTAAAGCTATACTTGAGGAGTAATTTGAGATCAATAAGCGAACTTATTTGAATTAATTGCTTTAAATCTCCATTTGGTATGGTCATGATTAAAAAATGATCAGAAATTTTATTGCATTCAACTTTAGTACAATTCTTAAAATATTGTAGTCTATCTGGTTACCCACAACAAAAACTGAATGAAAGAAATTATTTAAAACACTGAAAATAGGTTTGCCTTCAGTTATAATTATTCCATTATTGTTTTTCAAAACTTGGATAGAGTCTTGTATATTTTTATATATATGCATATTTTATATATCTGCATCTGCATATTTTGGTTTCTAAGCGAATCAGCAATTTAAGGAAATCTTACTCTGACCACTTGGATGAAAGATAAATAAAAACTCTTCAATAGCCTCTTCATCTTGCATTTCTAAAAAATATTAACACTGGCAAAGTAAGAATTAATTAAAAAAAACTCAAATCATATCTTTTAAACCAATTGGCAGAGCCCTAATATGAAATATACTAATTTATTTATCAAGTTTTGAGTTTAAATTTTCACAGTACAATTTCATATATATATATATATATATATATATATAATATATATATATATATATATATATATATATATATATATATATATATATATATATATATATATATATATATATATTGTTTTGACGGAGCCGAAGTATGTGAACTGGTGGGTTTATACGTCCTAGACTCTTTATTCAAAACCATTACTAAAAATGATATAGGTCTTTACCAAGATGATGGATTGATGGTGATGCTCCAAAAAACTGCCGCACAGTCAGACAAAATCCGAAAAAATATAAATGAGATATTTAAAAAGATCGGATTTCAAATAGAGATTCAAACCGTGTTCTAAACAGTGTTAATTTTCTTGACATAACTTTTAATCTTCAAAAAAACTCCTACCAACCTTTTAAAAAACAAAATGACCAATTGCTCTACATCCACACTGAATCAAATCACCCGCCCCAAGTCCTTGAGCAGGTCCCTCTCATTAATTATCGACTATTGCAAAATTTTTAACGCATCAAAAACAAAATACGAAGAAGCACTTAAACAAAACGGTTTTAAAACTTTAACTTAAAGTACAACCTAAAAAATAAGACACCTCCCAAAAGAAAAAGGAATATGATTTTGTTTAATCCACCTTACAATAAAAGCGTCTCTTTATTATTTGTAAAAAGATTTGGCCAACCAATGTTGGTCAAATCTTTTTGCAATTAATAAATAAACATTTCCCACCTTTAAACCCACTGCATAATCTATTCAATCAAAATAATACAAAAATTAGCTACAGCTGCTCAAACAAAATTTTAAAAATCATAAAAAGTCACAATAAAAAAATAAATTTAATTAACACGACTGAAAATCTCCCTTGCAATTGTAATCAAAAAGAAATCTGCCCGATGAATAAAAATTGTAGAGCGACAAACATCATTTACAAATGTATAACATCTTCCCCAAACATGCCCAGCAAAGTATACATTGGTTTATCAGAAGGAGTGTGGAAAAAGAGGTATGCAAACCACAAGCAATCATTTACAAATAAGAAACTTTCAAATGCAACCACTCTCTTAAAACATATATGGGAAACTAAGGAAAAACTGAAAGAAACACCTGAATTAACTTGGTCTATCCTAAAAAAAGCCTACAACAATACACAAAAATGTTTACTTTATTTATATAAAAAACTAATCATTTTACTTTATAAAAATGCTGAAGAGCTACTTAATAAAAAAACAGAGTTGATTTCCGAGTGTCGCCACAAAAATAAATTTCTATTAAGCAACCACAAACCTGAAGATTAGATACACGCGGTTGTAACAATAAAAAATGTTTTTTCCGTATAGGTTTTTTTCTGTATATATATATATATATATGTATATATATATATATATATATATATATATATATATATATATATATATATATATATATATATATTATATATATAATATATACATATATTATATATTATATATATAATATATATATATATATATATATATATATTTACTTGATATATATATATATAATATATATATATATATATTGTATATATGTAATATATATATATATATATATATATATATTTACTTGATATATATATAATTGTATATATGTAATATATATATATATATATATATATATATATATATATATATATATACATATATATATATATATATATATATATATATATATATATATATATATATATATATATACATATATATATATATATATATATAATATATATATATATATATATATATATATATATATATACATATATATATATATATATATATATATATATATATATATATATATATATATATATATATATGTATATATATAATATATATATATATATATATATATATATATATATATGTATATATATATATATATATATATATATATATATATATATATATATATATATATATATATATATGTATATATATATATATATATATAATTGTATATATATAATATATATATATATTTCTATTTATTTTGCACATAAGAAAAGAGTATTTTTTGGATTATTTTTGCTTTTTGAACAATGGTTTCTTCATATTCCAAGACTGCTTTCTTTATAACTTTTTTTTACTGTCGCACTAGCTGCCTTATAATATAATTTTAAATTGTTGTGAGCAAATTGTTCAACAGATTTGTATTAGGCCAAAAAGTCCTGTTTTAGTTGAATACCAACTTTTACATCATTTTACATCAAGGTTCATGATCCAGAAATAATTTAGAGCTAGTTGTTAATATTATGGAGCACACAATTGAATAATAATTTTTTTATTTTATAATTAGTTTTATTTAATTATAATTATTTTTTTTTTAAATTAATTATAATTATTTTTATTTTATAATTATTATTTTTGAAGTTTAAATACTTAGTACTAAAAGAATTTTTAGTTAAAAAAAAAAGTTTGAGTAAAATAATATAGTTAAATTGTAATTACATTTTACAATTTTTAATTTTTTCTAATCGATCTAATAAACTCAATGATTTCAATGCTTTTTGAATAAATAATTTGAATAGAAAAATCACTTGCATTCTCATTCGCTAGTCAGTTTCTAATATTTGAATGTACATATTCAGTTAAATCTCTAAATCTCTTTGTATTTAAGATTAACAACTATTGTGTATGTTGTACACATAAATGTTGTATAACTTGTACAAATATGTTGTACACATAAATGTTGTATAACTTGTAGAAATATGTTGTACATATAAATGTTGTATAATATTGGCTAATATATACAACATTTATATGTATAATAGTTAGTTTTATTGCTTTTTTTAAACTGTTTTGTAGTTTCATAGCTAAACTTAGGTGTTTATGAAGGTTTTTCCGATGGTCTTTATAAAGGTTTTTTCATATCATTATGTCACAATAGTACATCTCTGCATTGGGTTCAATGTAATCAGTTTAAGTTAGGTTTAGTTACACTTCTTTAGTACTTTGCTTTTTATCAAGGTCGTTTACAATCTTTTAAGTATTTTTTATCTATTATTGCTAGGAGCTACCTAGTGTTTACCCAAGATAATTGCCAAAAATAGACCCCACCCTCCTGTAAACAATCATGAACATTTAGCTTGATTTTTTTAGCTAAATGCTCGTGAAGTTTTTCACTAACATCAATTCTGTAAAAATGATCCTGGGCCTAAGAAATAAAATGTTTGATCAATTCATTCTTGCTAATCTCTACTCATTATTTTTCAGATCAATTGATTTTCAGGTTTGGTGGTTTTGATTAAGTTTTGAATAATCCAGTTTGCTGTTACTGGTAGTTACTACTGTCTTGGTTCTTTTTGGTATTTTTTTTTTTCATTTGATCTACTAAACCAACACTGAATATTACATTATACAGCATTGAATGGCTACACAATAGTACCCTCTATCAACTCATAATACCTTGAAATCTTTTATCATTTGATAGTCTACATTTAATGTTATTTATTTCAATTTATACCATTAGTTATACCTGTGATATATTTTAAAATACAGATTTAAAAAAATTTATTTTCAATTGTTTAATAAAGAAGTAATCATTATGATTTTTATTTTTTATTTATTCAGGCCCTTCAATATCTTCGTAAGGTTTGTAACCATCCTTCACTGGTAATGACACCTTCTCATCCTGAATATAGTTCTGTATGCTCATATTTAGTTGAGAATAAATCTTCACTTAATGACATTCAACATTCCTCAAAACTTTTAGCACTAAAGTGAGTTTTACTATCTTTGTTATTATTATTTTTTATTATTTGCTGTATTTTTTTATTTCATACTTAAAACTTCCTAAGAATATGATGTAAAAATTAAATTAAAAGGTTTTTTTCAAATTTATCTCCTGTCTTGCACTTGGACCTGGGACCATGAACATTTTATAACTATTACCTATTTTAAAAAAATTTTTTTTTTAGACAACTTCTTCTGGATTGTGGAATAGGTGTGGAAAACAATGTAAATCTTACAGATGAGCTCCACCCTGTAGTTTCACAGCACAGGGCATTAATATTTTTTCAGTTAAAATCAATGCTTAACATTGTTGAAAATGATTTGTTTAAGTAAGTTATTGTTTATTATCATTTATTCAAGTAGATTATCTGCTATATTATTATCTCTTTTATTTTGATACTATTGTTTTAATTTTTTTAGACAACATTTACCATCTATAACCTATTTACGATTAGATGGCAGTGTCCCTGCAAATCAACGGCATAACATAGTGCAAATGTATTTTTTAATTGTGTTTTCACTAGCTATTATCAAATAAATTGTTTTTCAAATTCCATATAATCTACTTAATCTTTATACTTTGCACAGTTATAAAATATCTAGAAGATTTTTTTTAGGTTTAACAATGATCCAAGTATAGATGTGTTGCTACTAACCACTCATGTTGGAGGTTTGGGATTAAATTTAACTGGTGCTGATACAGTTATATTTGTTGAGCATGATTGGAATCCAATGAAAGATTTACAAGTAATAATTTATAAAACATTTTGTATAAAATATTTAAAAAAAAAAAGAATGGATAAAATGCCATACCTATAGTAGTGGAACAATAGAGTTTTATTTAATTTTATAGTAGTGGAAAAATAGAATTTTATAGTAATTCTTCTTTTTATCTTCTAAAGAAGGTACAGCTCTAAAACTCAGGTTAATGCGTCTTGAGGGTTCTATCAATAGGTATAAATTATCAGAATATAACAGTGCCATGTTGCATTTGGAAGGTTTACCTGTTAGTGATGTTAATGTGGATTGTCGAAGCCACATAAGGAGCCCTTTGTTACGTCTTTGGGTTAATTAGCAGGAAAAAGGCAACCACTTATTGCTTGTTGCTTAGGGTGTTCTCTAATTATTAATGCCATGAAGAAAATTACCATTCTTTGAACTGACCAAATTGACCAAACCCTTCATTATACCTCAGCTAATATTGTTATTACTGATATCTTTAATGCTCATCACACTAAATGGCTTTAATAGAACTGGTTTTAATAGAACTATACTTTGGTTTTAATAGAGCTATACTTTGGTTTTAATAGAACTATACTTTGGTTTTAATAGAACTATACTTTGGTTTTAATAGAACTATACTTTGGTTTTAATAGAACTATACTTTGGTTTTAATAGAACTATACTTTGGTTGCTGGCTCTAAAGCTCAAGATTTTTATAATCTTCAGTTCTTTTACTCAGTTAATTTTATGAATTGTTTTTCAGACAAACCTAGTTTTTTTATAGTCACATAGCTTTACTTCCTGATTTGTGTTCTTTCTCTGACCCTAACTTATGCTTAGTTTCTTCTTGTTTCCCTTAGGTATTTTAGGTCATATGATGATCTTATATAAAACTTATATTTCTTACTTCGACTGTATCAGATTTACTGGAATTCTTCTTACTAATACCTTTAACTTGATTCTTTTTATGATTTACTTTGTGATGGCTGATGTCTTTTGTCTCTATGCTGAGAATTGTGCTTTCTTTATAATCTCTTGAAATCAGGCAAACATTGCTTCTCATTGTATTCAAGTATTTGTATTCAAGTCTTAAAAATCCTACGCTAAAGTCCGTTATTCTTAGAATACTAAATCTAAAAATGAGGTTCAAAAAACATTAGGAAAATCTTTAACAATGTTATTAAAAAAGCCAACTCTAACATTCTCTCTCTTCTCTTACACATGGATCTGATACTCTTTTAAGGATCTGATCTTATTACCTCTCCCAAGGAAATGGCAGAACTATTTGCAAAAAAATTTTTCTCCAATTTATCTCTTGAATCTAAATTACTCCTACTTTCATTTCTACTTAAAATTTTCTACCCTTTGTGGTCAATATTACTGTCACAGTTTTACGAAAGTTTTCTCCAACTCACTTCATTACTCTATTACAAACTATTTAACCAGTGATCATGTAAATCTTATTTTTCTACCTGCTGGAGAAATTCTACAGTTCCAATTTTTGAAAACTCATTGCTCTGACCTTTCTTCCTATTGCTTGATAAGTTTTTATATTCATAAGTCTTAAAATCTTTAAATAACAAACTTCTAATATTGTTCTACTACTGATTTGTTAACAGAAAAGTTTTATCATGCATTAAATTTTTTTTTTAATTTTACTTCACCTCTCAAGGCCGTGAAGGTCTCTACAGTCGAGGAAGCTACTTTAGTTGTAGTTCCAACCCTCTGTCAACTCTATAACTCCAAAACATGAACCTTGACAAACAAGACTGTTGCGCAGAGAAACAAGTTGAGTGCAGTACTCTAAGGGGCCTGGTGGGGATCAAACTTGGAACTTCTTGCTTATGAGGCAAACGCTCTACTACTGCACCACTTCCGCATATTAATGTATTGAGGCAAGGGCTATTGCACTTGACATATCAAAGAGTTTTGATAAAGTTTCTCTTAAGATTGCTTCTTTTCTATAACTTCATATGATTCAAATCTGAAAAAAAAATTTAAACTTTTTTAGAATCATTTTAACTGTAGTATTAAAGTTATCTTTGATGGAAAATTCTTTTGTTTCCGGTAACTCCTTGGGTACTTCCTTCGTTTCCGGTAACTCCTTGGGTACTTCCTTCTTTTCCCGTAACTCCTTGGGTACTTCCTCATCTATTTTAGTGATCTTTATATTCTTTTCTTTATTTGCAATAAATAGAGCCCATCAGGGGCTCTATTTATTGCAAATAAAGAAATGAATATAAAGATCACTAAAATAGATTTAATGAATACTATTTATTAAATACTGGCATACAAACTCTAAATTATTTCCAACAAGATTGCAAGCAACCATTATTAAGTAATGAGTTACTTTAAAATAGAGGATAACTTAAAATACTAGGAAATGTATAAATGAAATATTTTTTATATTTGCAGAATTTTTTCTGGATTAACAAAATATAATGATCACTGTCATTTTGAACAGACAGTTGATTCTAAAGGTGATCTCTTATCTGTGACCGCTTGGGGCTTGTAGTGGCTAGTGAGTTTTAATTAAAAAAAAACTAAGTTGTTACTTGTTAATAATTAATGCAATATTATTGATATTCCTATATTGATGAATAGCAACCTCTTACTGAGTCTTCAATTTTATGTCTTCTCAAGTTATCATTTATTACTGATTTCTCATAGAAACCGTATAAATAATTTGCAAAGTTAAAATTTACTGAGATTGCTTTCTATATTGTAATCTCTGTTTTTTATATTTGATACCTCTATAGATTTCATATTTATCCTTCTATGAAATGTTATTATCACATTTTGACCCTCTCTTGTCTGGACAAGATCTAAAATCAAAATGTTTAATAAATAAAAATGCATTAAAAAAAAATCAAAATAAAAAAACAATTTAAAATATTGTTGGAACTAGCTACTAAGCTTGAGCTTCTGTCCCTCTTATTGTCATGATTGAGTTTATCTCTTTTCTACTAATACTACCATGTTTGCTGGTCAAGTTTCACTTGTTCTATCAATCAAAAACCTGACATCAGACTCATCATTCAACAAATTTGCGTTCTTTTACTGTAAAGTTGAGTACTTTTACTGTTCCTTTATGCTCAAAAAACTTGCTCAAAAACAATTGTGCTCAAAAAATCTAATTTTCTGGCTGTTTTTTTCTTCTGAGTTCTCTCCTGACTTTATGTTTTTCTGACTCATACAGTTTTTTAAATTTTCTGTCAACCGCTTTCTTGATTTTAGCTCTCTTTTTTGTTTTCTATTAACTCCGGACTTAATGGTTGCTTGCAGCCTTGATGGAAGTGAATTGGAAAAATTTCTGTATTAATTTCTTTTTGAAACTGGATATTTAAAAAATTTTATTTTTTCAATTAAAGATGATGATTTAGATAATTTAAAAACTTCAATTATTTTAAATTACTAATAAGTTAGGAATTATGTTTTAAGAAAACTCAAGTTTTAAATTAAATGACAATAAAATTTTAAAAGTAAAGAAAATTTCAAAATTTTATGATTATGATACTTTCAAACTGTAAATTTCCAACTGATTTGCATTTTATTAACCTTTAACACCAAATCACAAACCTTGTCAAACAGATATGCCAGTTTTTTTGTGAAACAGGCTGAGTGTGTAGGACATAGGGTAAGTTTGAACCTCTTGGTGATAAGATAAATACATACATACATACATACATACATACATACATACATACATACATACATACATACATACATACATACATACATACATACATTAAAAATATATATTATGAACGTTATATATACATACTTATATATATATATACACACATATGTACATATAATATATGTATAAAAAATATATTTAAAATTTATAAATTAACAAATTTAGCCTAACATTTGTTATGGTTTAGCAACAGTACTGAAATATATTTCAGTACTGTTGTTTATAAAAATTAATTTGAATTTGTTAACTTATAAAAATTAATTTGAATTTGTTAACTTGCCGATTTTGTGAATTAGTATTTCACAAAATTTAGCAAGTTAAAAATTTAATTGTTTAATATGTTTTTTGTTTTAATGTAATGTATGTACATATTTTAATTATTGTAAAGTATATATTATGTTTTTTTTAAAATTAGGCAATGGATCGTGCTCATCGTATTGGTCAAAAAAAAGTTGTTAATGTTTATCGCTTGATTGCTAGAAGTACCTTAGAAGAAAAGATTATGGGGTTAGAATCTTATGAATTTTAAGTTTTTGTTAAAGTATTGTGTTTGAGGTAAAGTTTTCTCCAAAACATGATCAGACAGCCCTCATATGTGGCGCCTTTAACCTATTCATCATTTCTTTTTTTTAAAAGATTATTTTGATTTGATGTGAGTATATTTATATACAGTTGGAAATCCATTTTTAATAATGCCTGCAGCCCTTGGAATCAGGGTCGGCATTCGGCGATGCCGACCTAACTGTCGACCTAAAAACTATGTTGTATGGTAACCTCTTTGTGTCAAATTTTTTTATGCCAACCTGATATCGATCTCTAACAGTTTGAAGTTGGCAATTGCCGACCTCATTTTTTCTAATTCCGAGGCCTGTGTCTAATAATGTTTTGGAAAAAACTTTACCAGCAAACGCAAAGTTCCTCTATTGTAGCTCCACACTGATTACCTGACTGTTTATGATGAATACTAAAATGGTTGTGGGGCAAAATTAAGCTAGAAAGTTCTTGATTCAATGGAGTCATTTTTTGTTTAACCTTATCAAATGTCCAGATGAACTGCCGGCCAAATTATGGAATCCATGTAATAGAAGAGAAATTAGTAAATATCAACTTTTATAACTTTCTGGTACCTCTTCTGAATTTTTATCAGGTTCTCTGCCAATTGTAAAATAACATTTAACTGTTTTTTAGTTCTTTATTTCGTTTAATTTTCTTTCTTAAAGTTCCTTAGTTCATTTAATGAAAGATACAAATTTATGGAGGATTGCAAGTTTGTTAAAATTTATTCGGTGGACAATTTAGGACAAATATTTGTCTGATCTAACCGCATCAAAAAAAGAATTATTTTGGATTATTGTCATAAAAAACTTGAGTAGTTGAGTTGTGTCTCAGATGCAATTGAAGGTATTCCACCAAGATATACTTTTGACTTCAAAGCCATTTTTATTAAACTTGCTTGTGACCTTATAGAGCATTTTTATGGTTCGTCACACTTCCTCTTATCAAGAGCTGCAGAGAAATAAAAGCTTTTTATAAGGTATTATTTTTAGAAGTATTTTCTTCAAGATTTGGCCAGCCAACTGATTTTTGCATTTTTAGTTCAACATTTAATTCAGGATTCTTTTTCGAATTCTGGTTTTGGATTTTCCAAATTTTTCTGTAATCACAATAAAGTAACCTTAGGAGGTGAATTACATTAAAGATAAATAAAAAAGACACTGTTAACAACATTAGTTTGTGTTTGGATTTCCTTTTGAACTTTACTTTTTTTTGTTTACATCAGAGTGATTGAAAATAATCGTATGTATAAATACACACACACATACAACAGCAATGTATGAATACACACACACACATACAAAAGCAATGTATAAGTACACACAAACATACAACAGCAATGTATGAATACACACACACATACAACAGCAATGTATGAATACACACACACATACAACAGCAATGTATGAATACACACACGCATACAACAGTAATAATTAAATTATTTAAATAAACATTTCAGTTTATAATTAAATATTTAATAAGCGTTAAATAATATCAATTTTCAACTGTCTGTAAAATATGAACACTTCATAAAATATTTATTTTGATAGCATTGTTGAACTTAAATATATGAAAAAAAAATTAATTTAATAAACATCTTTTTTTCTTTTATATACATAACGCTTATAAATATACCCAGGTTCGCATTTTGTTAAAAATAAGCATAATATGTTTATTAATTACACATAATATCCCATTATTAAAAGAAATCTGCTCAATTTTTATTTTGGATATATTGAAACCATTGCGAAGTTATTGCGAAGTCGTTGCAGAGCAAAATCTGTTTGCTTAGGTATAACGTAAAGTTGTTCTTGCCCACCTACTAAAGAGTGACATGGAAACCAAAAACCAAACAAAAATGATGACTACTCTTCATTAAATAGTTTAATCAATCAGTTGCAACAACGTGAGAATCTTGTTCTAAACAACTTTACTTACGAAGACACGTTTCGATAAATTATTCCAGATATTATTGAGGTACTACTGTACTACTGTAGACTCTTGTATGAATATTTTATAAAACTTTCTGCTTCATAAAATCATTATAAAAGAAATATAATACTCCTCTTTTTTTTTTTTTTTTATTTTAATCATTTTATAATGACTTTTTTTATTACAAATAATGCGCTTATTTGTTCCGAAAAGATATGTCTGGAAGTAACAAACTAAACGTCGATTGTTCTTTTTTTGTGCGTTTTGTCTTTCCATTCCTTTCGTTTTTGAGATTATTATAATTAGATTTTATTCCTTTATTTTAGACTTCAAAAATTCAAGCTCAACATAGCTAATACAGTTATAACTCGTGATAATTCTAGCCTGTATTCGATGGATACTTCACAACTGCTCGATCTATTTACTGTCAGTTCAAAAAAAGGTGCTACGGATGCAAAGTCTTTAAAATCAAACGAGAAGAAAGCTTCAATGAGCGATATTTTAGCTGAAATGGGAGATCTATGGGACGAAAAACAATACGAAAACGAATATGATCTGAATCAATTTATGACATCATTAAAACATTGACATGTTTTTTTCTAACATTTACTAAAACAACATTAAAACGTTAACATGCTTTTTGTAAAAATATGTTTTTTGGGTTTCGGCTAATCGAAGGCTGAGTTTGATTTACCTTTGCAACCTTTTGCAGTTAATCCAAAGCGAACTGCAACTGATAGACGAAAAAAAATTAGATAAGTGATTTATTTAAACAGTAGAACAAAAAAATTCATTAAATAAAATGTATTTTCTTTCTTAATCATAGCCTAGGGTGTCCCATTCCCGCAAAATTTTCGAATTACCTCACCAACTTTTAAATTGAGGTTTAGACTAAAAAAAAAATAATTTTTACCGAGTTTTTTTTTAAGTAAGTTTAAAGGTTAGAAAAAGTTGAGCAAATCCTTTTTTACCTTTTTTTTTTTAAATATTTTTTTTAAAATGTTAACAAATATATTCCGCAACAACTTCAACTTTTCACACAGTATAATTTACTATATATCTTATTTATACTGTATAAAAAATTTGAGTTAAAAAAAAAATTAATTTAAAGGTCCCCCCGAATTAAATAATCAAGTGGTTTTGTAATTTGACATCGTCAGAAAATAGTTATTAACCGTAAAGGCTTAAATTTGGTACATCTATACAATATTATATGAGGCGCCTAACAAGAAAAGGTACCAAGCCTTAGAAATGAAGTTACTGATACAGTTGCATAGAGTTAGAAATAAGAGCAAAAATTAGCTTGATAGCATCATCATTGAAAATTCTACATAGTTTTTCAAGGAAGTGTTATAAAAATGAAATTACAGTAAAAAATGATTTTGAAAGTTTGACTTTATAACTAAAGAGTTTAGAAGGGACTCTAGCAATAATTTTTTTTTTTTTTAAATTTATTTCGTCAGTAAAAAAAAAGAATACAATTTTTAATTTTAATTCATTAACATCGTTAATAAGTTTTTGTTTCAATTTTTTTTTGAATAGGTAAAGAGAAGAACAATTTTTCAGCTCGTCACTTAATAAAGCGTTCCATAATTTAGGACCTCTTATAGCAATAGAAAATTTGATAGCCAAATAATGCATTTTAGGTTGCTCATAATTGTACTTAGAAAATCTTGCAGGGTACATGTGATTAATTTTATTGAAAAGTCTACTAAATATTATAGGGGATATTTTATTATGAAGTTTGTACATAAAAATAAGAATTTGATAAAGGTTTAACTGAAAAACATTGAGTATGTGAAAATTATTAAATAGTTCTTTAGTATGTGTGAATCGACCTGCATTTGAAATAATTCTGACAGCATGTTTTTGTTTACTAAGCAGCTTTTTAATTTTACTTATATTAGAGCTGCACCAGGCAATGTTTGCATAGTTTATATAACAATGTATGAGGGAGAAATATAAAATTTTTAGGCAGTTTTGGTTTAAAAACTGCTTGGCTTTGAATAGTATACCAATATTTTTTGAAACTTTATTTTCTATTGTACTTATGTGTTCTCTCCATGTTAAGTTTTCATCAAGTATCACTCCTAAAAATTTTATTGGTGACTCTCTAATTATTTTGGAGTTGCCAATATAAAGATTAGGAAGTTTTAGTGGAATGTTTTCTTTATCGTGAACTCTATAAAAAAAAGTATACTTAGTTTTATTTAAATTTAAGGACAATTTGTTCGCCTTAAACCATTCCGCTAGATTTAAAAGTTCTTTGTTTACTATTTTAAATAAAAGTTTAATATCTCCATTATAGTAAAATAAATTCGTGCCATCTGCAAATAAAACAGAGTTTAAAATGTTTGAAAACTTATGAAAATCGTTTACATAAATAAGAAATAAAAGAGGACCCAGAATTGAACCCTGGGGAACACCGCAATTTATTGTCATATAGAAAGATTTTCCTTCTTCGTATGATATGTATTGTTTTCTATTGTTTAGATAACTTATGAACCAATCTAAATATGTGCTTTTAATACCATAACTTTCGAGTTTTTTTATAAGAATATTATGGTCTACTGTATCAAAAGCTTTGCTAAGATCTATAAAAACTCCAAGAGTAAACTTTTTCTTGTCAAATGCTTTAAATATATCATGAACAATATTAATAATGGCATGGTCAGTTGAATTACCTGGCTGAAATCCAAATTGTTTATTATATAAAATATTATTTGTATTTAAAAAATTCAAAATCCGATTATACATAGTTCGCTCTAAGATTTTTGAGAAGCAAGGGAGAATTGAAATTGGTCTGTAATTTTCAGAATTAGAAATATCTCCTGATTTAAAAATAGGTATAACCCTTGCAATTTTAAGTTTCTCAGGATAGACACCTTGTTTTAAAGAGAGATTAAAAATATGTAAGAGAGGGATTGTCAAGTATTTTATTGATTTTTTTATTACATTACTACTAATATTATCAACTCCTACACTTTTGTTTTGTTTTAAAAGATTTACTGCATCTATAAGTTCATTTTCAGTAATTTCATAAATATCCATTTTAGAGGTCTTATTAGGAGTAAGATATGTCTCAAAGTTTACTTCAGTGGTTTCTATTTTTGACGCTAGAGTGGAACCTACACTTACAAAATATTGATTAAGTGTTTCGGCAATTAAAGATTTATTTGTAATAACTTTATTATCAATTGTTAGATTTATAGGAAGAATATTTCTGTCAGTTTGTTTCGTATCAATTACTTATTGTGCCGATCATATTTATGTTTAATTCATTGCTCGGTATAGTACAACTTCTTGGACTTTTTAATAACCATCTCAAAAATACGTTTAGAATTGGTTTCATTGTTGAAAGTTTTTTTTTTGAGAAATTTATTATATAGTCGTTGCTTTTTTTTTTAACGACTTGATAATTGGAGTTATCCATGGATTTGATAATGTCTTTTTTTTCACACATTTTGTAATTAATGGAAACGCTGTATTATAAAGTTGTTGTAATTTATCTAGAAACTTATTGTATGCCTTATTTGTATGTACAATATCAAGGAGGTCATCCCAGTTTCAATTTGCTAGAAGACTATTTAAATTTTCAATGAATTTTTCATCTATTTGTCGTGTAATTTTTTCAATTTTTTTTTGCATAGATATTATCGCATTTTTGCGAGATAAGAAATATAGGGAAGTGGTCTGAAATGTCGCATTTAAATATATACCCGTTTTTATTTTTGATTTAAATTCGTTGGTTACTATTTGGTCTATAACAGTTGCGCTTTCTCTAGTTATTCTTGTGGGTTTAATAATTAGTGGAATATAACCTTTCTGATAAATGACGTTATAGAAATTATTTATTTTTGTATTTAAATGACGCATGTTCATGTCCAGGTTAAAATCACCTACAAAATAAACTAGGGTTGTTCGCCGAAAAACAAAACTTGCAAAAATTTCGCATCTTTATCTACCGTAATAGAATTGTTATTGCGGAAGTTGCTCATGCAAAAATGCACATTCCGTAACGCGCTATACGAAAATATAAATAAATAAAATTCCGTAATAAAGCATTGCGAAAGAAAACTTTCGAAACAAATCATTTCGTAAGATTACTTACGAAATAGTTCCTTACGGAAAAAGCATTTCGGAATGTGCAGTTACGAAAAGGACGCAAAAGATTTTATGTTACGATATGTTCAAGATATTAACTGTTAACAGTTTAAATAATAAATAATAAAATTATAAAAAAATGTTGTCAAATGATTCTTCAAATGTTTATACTATATATATACCTAATATATATATATATATATATATATATATATATATATATATATATATATATATATATATATATATATATATATATATACATATATATACAGTAAAATCCCGTTAAGTTGGACTCTCAATGAACAGATAAACAGTATGCCTTTCTTTTTAAAAAGTATAAAGAGGATGTGTGATAAACAATTAAATACTTTATTATAAAGAACGAGAGATCTCTCTAAAGGTAAATGATATCAGAAAGAGTAAAAAGAGAAGAAATATATGTGAAACAGCAGAATGTGAACCTGGGTCTCCGCGGCCAAATGTCTTAACTGAATGAGCTATACGTTCATTCAACTAAGTGAATAGTAATATTTATTTATTATATAATTAAGAAACTATATAAAACAGAGTTTACAGAAAGAGATACGTATGCAAATAGGATTCTATATATCAGGAAAATGAATAGTAATGTGAACCTTTAGTTGCTTATAATTAATATCTGGACTCGAAAATTAGTTACTTTTAATGAAACACAATAGGCTGTAGGAGCCTCAGGGAAATTATATTCAGAAATGATTATATTAGACTCAGGTTTAGCTAGAAATTATTACAAAGTGTTTAGGACAGATGTCTAGTACAAAAAGCACAAGATTTAAAGAAAAATGATTTATATTATTTGAAAAAGTTGTTTTACGTACACTTCATCATAATTTAAGTAGAACTTAGTAAAGCAAGGGAAACGTGTAGAATTAAGCACAATGAACTCAATCTTAAAAGAATAACTAACAGAAGAGAGGTTGTCACTATTATAAAAGTGACGAAAGATCTGTAATATAGAGCATGGAGGTCAAAAAATGCTATCTTAAGTAAAAAGAGTTTGATGAACAAAAGTTACAATGGCTGCGGGATGCGTACCCGGATCTCTGGGGCGAATTATCACGTATCTAACTGATTGAACTATACGATCTTATACTTAAATTTATATCTTATTAAAATTAAAAAACAATATTTTCTAAGATCTATACTTCGAAAAGCGTATTCAAACAGGACTCTACATACCTTTAAAATCTGCTAGAACTTTAGTAACGTGCACAATTTTAGAAATTATTGAAATAGGTATATTTTATCAGAAATATGGTTAAGCTAAAGCATATTTTTGAACCTCTTTTTACTATTTGCTTAAGCATATTCGAACCTGTTTCAAAAATTTCATATGCTTTAAAAAAAAAAACATGTATATTCCTACCCATCATTCTTATTTTTAATATACGTAATGAGTTCAAAAAACATCGTTATATATATTTATTATGGCACGTTTCGTAAGTTTATTTCCGTTAAGAATTCTTTCGTATGTTGTGATCCGAAATACTTTCGCTTCGAAAGAAATTTTTTTTTTATCAATATTTCTAAAAATAAAACCATAAAAATTTAATGTTATTATACTGAAAATAAAAATTCATTATAAACATTTTGGGATTTAAAGATGTTAATTTTTACAATTAAAATCAGTCTGGCAAACAAGTTTTCATTATAGACTTCAAAACGTCGTTTGGCGAAAATGTTTGTTTCGCAAGTGCGACTTCCGAAACCGCTACTTTCGTATGTTGCAAAATAGTTTTGTTTCGTATGTCAACTTGCGAAATGCTAAATTTCGGAAGTGCCTTTTGCGAAGTGAACATCGGCAATTTTAAATGTTCTGTAACATTCGGTACGAAAAAATGTAATTCCTCGTGCTCAATCTCCTTACGAAAGTGCACGAAATCCTCCGGTTAACAACCCTAAAATAAACGCTTTTATTTTTGCTTAACTTATTTTTAATTATGTTTTTAATATAATTTTCGAATTGTTTTATTGAACCGGAAGGTGGTCTGTATAAAACGTGGATGATAATGTTTTTTGTGGTTTTATTTATTATTTCCACGCACAGTGATTTACAATCATTAGTGGTTGAACACAAATCTTTTCTTAGTTTGTATACTAAAGTGTTGCTTATAAATACACACAAACACCCTCCTTTCTTCCCAGATTCTCTAAATTGATAAATCACTTTAAAATTTGGCAGCTGAAAATTTGTATGTGACATAATATATTCATCAGTACACCAACTTTCGCTGAGACTAATAATTTTAAAATTGAATTTAATCTCGCATAAAAATTGTTTAAATGATTCAAAATTTTTTGAAATGCTCCTAATGTTTAAATGCAAAATTGAAAATGAATTTACATCTATTCCTTGCATTATGTTTGCAGATTTAGGGTTATAATATAAAGTATTAATATTTTGAAAAGCTTTATTATTACTATAAAAATTAATATCCGAGTCAGAAGTTTTATCTAGAAGTATCCTATTTTTATTTTGTAATGAATTAAATTCTAAGTTAATTGAATCATTATTATCATTCATAAGAAGGGTGTTTTTTTTAAAAAAACTGTTAAAAAGAATAAAAAAATAAAAAAAATAATAATAAATAAAGTAATTAAGCGCTCGCTTGCTTTTTCCTAAATTCTCTAACTATAAGTTTATCATATTTTATAATAGAATATTTACCATTTTTCCTATACATCTTCATTTTGTTCTGAGAGTTTTTTTTCTTATGATTGTTGTTTCAAAAGAGAAGTCTTCGTTAATGTATATTCCTGTTCCTTTAAGCCGATTTGATGAATTTAAAATTTTTATTTTGTCTTTGTAATGTAGTATTTTAACTACAATTGTTCGAGTTTTGCTTTCTTCTTTTTTTCCAATTCTATGAGCCCTCTCGATATCAATGTTTTTAATGTTTAACACGTTTTTAAATAGGGTTTGTAACTTTTTTTCGGTTTCATCCGAGGTTTCTTGATCGTTTTCAGGAAGCCCGTCGATGCGAAGATTATTTCTTCTGAGTCTATCTTCTACCTGTCGTAATTTATTTTTTTCCTCTTCACCTACACTGTTTTTGTTTTTAATTTTCTTTTCTAAATCACATACTTTTTTATCTTGGATATCCTGAGTAACTGTTAGACTTTCTTTGATATCTTTATTTGTCTTTTCGAGTATTCTTACTCTTTCGGTAGTTTCTTTAAGTTTAGTGTTAATCTTTTCGTTTTCTTTTTTTAATGAGTCGCAAATTTGTTTTGATTTATGTATTTCATCAAGTAACTCATTGATTTTATCATTAGTTATTTTTAAGTTACCACTAATAAGCTTCAAATAAATCACATAGATAAGATTACATTAATATATATTTCATGAAGATACGCTCGGTATATACAATTATAAATTTGGATCGTGCCAAGTGCTCAACATACAGCTCGTAGGGAAAAAGGAAGCGTAAGAGACGTAAAATCCGTAAGAGAGCGAGAGTGACTTCGTACTCCGCTATATATACAATAACAAGAAACCTACTGGTTGCTACGTTAGCGCACTAATGCAACATTGCGGCCGGTATAGCCGCCTAAAAGTACTCCCGTAAATAAGTATTCCCGGAGTACTTTTTCCTAGGAAATTAGTACTCCGGGAGCATTTATTTCCTAGTAAATAAGTACTCCCGGGAGTATTTATTTACTAGGAAATAAGTACTCTTTTAGAAAATAAGTACTCCCCTAATGATATTTAATAAATACAATTTTTGAGGCAGCGCTAAGTGTTTGCAGTGCTAATACTTTTGGCATTATTGAAATTTAAATTTGTAAATTATAGACAAAACACCATTTGATACAAAGAAAAATGATTTTACAAAACTTATACTTTGCAAAGCACCTGTTTTTAAACTAAAACTTATATTTTAACTATTTTGAACCGTATATATAAAATTTTTGAAATTTTATAAGATGTGACTTCTTTGAAATTATTTATTTAAAGGCTTAATTTAAGTATTTGATAAACACTCTTAAATGTAACGGATCTTCATAGAACCTTAATGGGTTTTTTAAGGGTCGCGCAGGTGAAGCAGCCGTTTTTCAAAGGTTCTTGCAAGAACCTCAAAGGTTCTACTGAAGAACACACTTTAAAGTTAGGATCGATAAAGATTTGAAATATTTAAACCTGAAATAGTTCTTAACAATCCTTTAAAAGTTCTTTAAGTTATTGCCAAAAGAACACCAATAAAGATTCTTTAATGAGCCTCCAAGACTTTAATATTTTTTAATCCCATAGAAGTAGAGATTTATTTTAAAAATCAATAGTTGTTAAACTATTTTTTTTATTTTATTTCACCTCCTCAAGGCCGAGAAGGCCACTACAGACGAGGAGGCTACTTATTTGTGGTTATAACCCTCTCTCAACTCTATAACTCCGAAACACGAACCTTGACGAACAAGGCCGCTGCACGGAGAAACAAGTTGAGCGCGGTACTACAAGGGACGTGGTGGGGATCAAACTCTTTTTATCGAATTTACTGCGAAAATCGATAGTATTAAACATAAAGCCGCAAAATTGAGAATCTGAAGGGTTTGTCGTATGAACAAAAGATCTATTCTAAAAATTGAAACATTAGAAAATAGAAGAAAAATTGGCCTCAATATTTAATATATCCAAAAAATATCAATAGATTTTTAACGACTGCAAGATGACACATAGAACAACAAGAGAGATAATAAAGTTTAATTAAATATCACAAAGTTAATTAAATCTTTTGTGAAAAATCATAAACCACTTTTTACAAAAACAATATCTATTGATTGAATCATCTTGCCGCAATATGCAATATATTCAGATTCAAACTCATTTAAAACAGGCTAACAATATTCAAAGATATTAAATAATATTTCAAAAACAAGATCTTCACAATATCCAAATATAATAATAAAAATGTATTACACCTATTTAAGACATTAGTATCAATAAATATCTAAACATTGATATTTGCAATATTGATATAAACAATTTAAAAATCTTTAAAAATTCTAATAGTTTAACTCAAAAATCTCTTCTTCTCTAATAACCTCTTAACAAGTATGTCTTGTTTGAATTTTCTCATAATTATTTCAAATTTTATTTACTAAATACCTCTATATATAAAAAATTCTTATAAGCTAATAAAAATGAAAAAGTTTTGTCCTGGTGCACAACCTGTAATATATAAAACATTTTTCAGATTTAGTATTCTGTTGATTTAAATAAGTAATATAACAAACGTCAATAAGCCAAGAGTTGCGTTTGGAAAATCATCTAAAATTAAATAATGAAATGATTATATATATATAGATATATAAATGCATATACAAATATATATATATATATATATATACATATATATATATATATATATATATATATATATATATATATATACATATATATATATATATATATATATATATATATATATATATATATATATATATATATATATATATATATATATATATATATATATACAGTCAGGTCAGGAGTATGGTCTTCATGATCATCCTGCTACTGGTAACATGTAACCCAGTGCAACCTGTTCCATGTTCTGCTGCCTTGCAGGATTTGCTATCTAAGCAAAGGCTGGAAGGAGTGTTCCTCCTGTCATCAGTACTATCTTATATCAGTCATGCCTATAGAATTTTTTTTTTTTTTTTTTTTTTTCCCAAATATAGTTGGAGGTGCCTTAGTTACTGTACTAGCTCACCTGTAATCTACGTTATATGTATGTTTGTGTTCTGTCTGAACCTCTGGCGCGGTGTTCGCTCACCCGTAAGTTACTTTATGTTCTTTATGTATGTCTGTGTTCTGTCTGAACCTCTGGCGCGGTGTTCGCTCACCCGTAAGTTACTTTATGTTTATGTTTATGTTTTTTATGTTTTTTTATGTATGTTTGTGTTCTGTCTGAACCTCTGGCGCGGTGTTCGCTCACCCGTAAGTTACTTTATGTTTTTTATGTATGTTTGTGTTCTGTCTGAACCTCTGGCGCGGTGTTGACTCACCCGTAAGTTGATTTATGTCTATGTTTGTTTGTGTTCTGTTTATACTCTAATGCAGCGTGAGCTCAGTAACTAACTACTTACTCCAACTACAAAACGTACACTCACCTTAGACTCCTGTATTTTGTTAGATGCAGTGTTTTTCCTAATGCACTTTCGAAATGTCATGCCTGGTTTTCTCAAAGTACTGTTGCGGGAAGTAACTCCTTTTAACTACTCCAGGTCAGGTCAGGATAATCGAGATCAATCTTGCTACTGGTATCACGTATCCCAGTACCACCTGCCACAAGCCCTGCTGCCTTGCAGAGTGTGCTCTTCTTATGCAAAGGCTAGGAGAAATAAACTCCGACTAAAAATTCCCCTGCCTTGGGGCTCTTGGTTGAGTAAAGGCTAGAGATGGTGTCTCGATAAAAATACTCATCTTGGGCAGATGTTAACTGCATCCAGCTAAACATCCCCTGCCTTGGGGCTCTTGGTTGAGTAAAGGCTAGAGATGGTGTCTCGATAAAAATACTCATCTTGGGCAGATGTTAACTGCATCCTGCTACTGTCTTGTAGAAGGCCTCCTAGGCAAAGACTTTAGGGGTAAGCAGAAAAATTCTGCTAACCAGCCTCGAACCCCTTCTTCATCTATTAGGCTGGCGTAGATGTAACCTGTGTTACATAGTTTCCTGCTTAGGATGATGAATGCTGGATCTCCTTGACTCTACTCATAGAATTTTGCTTATGCCTCCTTGATAATGGCTATGCAACTCTTCCTGTTATCTCCATATGAGGGTACAGCTCTAAAACTCAGTTTAATGGTTCTGAGGCCGGCTGGTAGTAAGGTTTACCGAACTCTGTGGTAGCTCTCAGAGAGGCTGATTCCATCAACAGCTGCAAAATATCAGAGTATTAACAGTGCCATGTTGCGCATGGATGGTGTCCCTGTTAATGCTTTTGGTGTGCATTGTCAAGGCCACATAAGGAGCCCTATGTCACGGCTTAGGGTTAATTAACAGGACTGAGACAACTGCATAGCTCATTGATTAGGAGGCTGTGCTCTATCTATGAATGAGTCAAGTTCTCATTAAACCCAAATCATGACAAAGTAAGCAAAAATTTAAAACCTAAAAAACCATCCCCACCACCTAAATATTTTAATATATCTTTTACAAATATTCGCGGTCTACGAAGCAACTTTCCATCAGTTGAGTCTTACCTCCTGCAAAATTCACCAGACTTGCTTGCACTCAGTGAAACAAATTTAAGTTCTGCAATTCCTTCTTCAGATGTCAGTGTTGATGGGTACTATCCTTTGATTCGTAAAGACTCCAATAGTCACATGCTAGGTTTAGGGGTTTACATACGCATTAATTCCCCTATTTGTCGTGAAATCAGGTTCGAATCCTTTGACCATTCTTTTATGTGCTTTCGCCTAGCACCTCTTCACTCTATCACCTTTCTCTTCGTTCTTTATCGTTCTCCTTCTTCCCATGATTGCACTCTTTTAGATGTTATCTCTGATCAAATTGACCATGCCATCTCTCTTTACCCCTCTGCCAATATTGTTGTTGTTGGTGATTTTAATGCCCATCACACTGAATGGCTTGGCTCTAACACCACTGATCCTGCTGGCACTAAAGCCTTTAACTTCTGCGTTTCTCAATCTCTTACTCAGATAGTTAACTTTGTGACTCGTTTTCCTAACAACCCTAATCATTTACCTTCACTCCTTGACTTATGTCTTGTCTCTGACCCTAGCTTATGTTCAGTTTCTCAATCTCTTACTCAGATAGTTAACTTTGTGACTCGTTTTCCTGACAACCCTAATCATTTACCTTCACTCCTTGACTTATGTCTTGTCTCTGATCCTAGCTTATGTTCAGTTTCTCAATCTCTTACTCAGATAGTTAACTTTGTGACTCGTTTTCCTGACAACCCTAATCATTTACCTTCACTCCTTGACTTATGTCTTGTCTCTGACCCTAGCTTATGTTCAGTTTCTTTTCTCCCTTAGGTGTTTCTGACCATGCAATGATCTCTGTAAATCTTTCTTCTCGTAGTTCTTTTTTGGGCTCACCTTATCATCGCACCACCTACTACTACCCTAAAGCTGACTGGGATTCCTTTCGTGATTTTTTTCGTGATGGTCCTTGGGCTGATGTTTTTTCTCTCTCAGCTGACAAATGCGCCTCCTACGTAACCTCCTGGATTCAGGCTGGAATGGAAGCTTTTATTCCTTCTCGTCGGTTTCAAGTCAAGCCTCATTCTACTCCATGGTTTTCTACTTCTTGTGCGGCTGCTATATCCAATCGTAACCATTTTTTTCATCTTTTTCAAAAGAACAACTCTCTTGAGAACTAACGGCTATTTATTATTGCAAGAAATCGATGTAAAAAGGGGCTTTCTGATGCTAAACTCCATTATTCTCAGTTCACTAAATCTCGCATCTTATCGCAAAAGTTAGGCTCTAAAGACTTTTGGAAAATCTTCAACAACATTGTTAACAAGGGTAGATCTAACATTCCATCTCTCATTCATGGGACTGATCTTGTTACCTCTCCCAGGGATAAGGCAGAACTGTTTGCAAAGAACTTTTCTTCTAATTCCACTCTTGAATCTTATGGACATTCTCTTCCTTCCATTCCAGTCAAACAGGTTGACCCATTGTTAGACATTCAAATCACTCCGGCTTCTGTTGCTAAAGTCATATCTCAATTAAACTCGTCTACAGCTTGTGGTCCAGACAACATTCCTGTCACAGTCTTGCAGAATCGTTCTCCAGAACTTTCTTCAATTCTCTCTAAACTATTTAACAAGTGTTTGACTGAGTCTTGTTTTCCTGCTTGTTGGAAAATGGCATCTGTGGTTCCAATATTCAAAAACTCTGGAGAAAATTCTGACCCCTCCAATTATCGTCCGATCAGTCTTCTTTCTGTTATTAGCAAGGTCTTTGAGTCTTTGATCAACAAATTCCTCACATCTCATCTTGAGTCAAATAAACTGCTGTCAGACAATCAATACGGTTTTCGATCCTCTCGCTCTACGACCGACTTGCTAACTTCTGTAACTGAAAGATTTTATCGTGCATTAGATGGAGGCGGTGAGGCTAGGGCTATTGCTCTCGACATATCTAAAGCTTTCGACAAAGTTTGGCATGCTAGTCTTCTCCATAAGCTTGCTTCATATGGTGTTTCTGGGAAAGTTTTTGAGATTATCAAATCATTTCTTTCTGACCGGTTTATTAAAGTCATCCGTGAAGGCCAACACTCTTCTTTATTTCCAGTAACTTCTGGGGTTCCCCAAGGTTCCATCCTGGGCCCTGTTTTGTTTCTTATCTACATAAACGATCTTCCTGACAACCTTTCATCTAAAGTAGCTCTTTTTGCTGATGACTCGACTTTATACTCCTGTCTTGACAAAAAGTCTTCTCTTTTCGATCGCCTAGAACAAGCAGCTGATCTTGAATCTGATCTCACTTCAGTAATAGATTGGGGTTCACAGTGGCTTGTGAATTTCAACTCTAAAAAAACCCAATTGCTTACTGCAAACAACTACCGTAATATGGTCAACATTCCTATATTAATGAATGGCAATCCTCTTACTGAGTCGTCCTCTTTACGTCTTCTTGGATTATCGCTTACTACTGACCTTTCATGGAAACCATATATACAATCGATTGCTAAATTAGCTTCTGCTAAGGTTGCTTCTCTTTATTGTGCTCGCCATTTCCTTACTTCTGATTCCATTCTCTACCTCTACAAATCTCTTATTCGTCCCTGTATGGAATACTGTTGTCATATTTGGGCTGGTTCTTCTAACGATTCACTTTCTCTTCTTGACAAGGTCAAAAAACGCATTGTAAATGTTGTTGGACCTGGACTATCTGCTAAGCTTGAACCTCTTTCCCATCGTCGTAAAGTTGCATCTCTTTCTCTTTTCTACAGATACTATCATGGTCACTGCTCAAAGGAGTTATCATCTCTAGTTCCATCAACTAAAATTCATTCTCGTTTTGTCCCAGCATGCTCTAAAAACTTTTATTCATCTAGTTTTTTTCCCCGCATTTCAATCCTTTGGAACTCTCTCCCATCTTCATGTTTTCCTGACTCCTACAACCTTCAACTTTTCAAGTCTTCTGTCAACCGTTTCCTTGCTCTATAACTCTGTTCTTTTTTTTCCTAGTAACTCCCAACTTGATAGTGGTTGCTTGCAGCCTTGTTGGGAGTGAATGCAAATAAAAAAATAATATATATATATATATATATATATATATATATA